TGGTATTTGGTATAGTGTTAATAAATTACATACATTTCTAATCGTATAACATCCCTGACAATATAATATTATTGCTGAATTTATAGTTATGGTTCACCATATATGTCAATATACATGGAATCCAGCAAGCCACAAAAAACATCAAAGTGTACTATGAAGCGGAAAGTTTATAAATCCAATAATGTTGACAATTTAATCCTCAGACTACTAGAAGAGTATAAACCTACGTCCTATTGCATCTTGTTTAAACTAAACTGGATATATCTCATTTAAGTCTATGTGGATTGATGTATATCAATATTGACAATTTAAATTTAAGTGGATTTATTAAATCCAATATTTCGACATGGACTTAAATCGTCAGTTACTAGTATGTTGATCAATATTGATGCACGTTCACTTTCAACAGTTTCCAGGTAAAATGTCCAACCAACTTATAACTATGGTAACCTAAGTAATGTCCTGAAACAATACACATGCCATGGATATTTAATCTTGTCAAAAACACTAAAGGGGTTACTAAACATTTGAAACTAGGGGGGTGACTGTGTCTTGTCTCAACATTCTTATTTTTTCTTGAATGTCCGAATATGTTTTCCTTGCAACAACTTGCATGCATTTTTTTTCTGTGTCTAGCTTGCATTTTTGTTTACCAACAAATCTTCCACCCCCCTCGATTTACGATTCCCCTTTCATGGAATGAACTTCCACTCTCCAGTCAATCAATATTTTTAAGAGAAGTCTGAAAACTCATCTAAACTAAAGTATTTTGAAAACTTTTTTTTATAAAACAGTTAATTAGTCCCCGTTCAGACGCAATCCGAAAACGGGGACTTATGTTTTGACCTCTGTGTGTCCGTGCGTGTGTGCGTCCGTGCGTGCGTCCGGACCTGTATCTTAGAAATGCCTGGACCAATCACAATCAAACTTCACACGTACATCATACATGATATTATACATATTCATGTCAATTTGTTTCACGATCTGATTCAAGATGGCCGAATGGTGGCCATTTTTGTGCTAAAATCATCAAAATCAAGCATTTCCCGGCTGTTTACAGATGGATTTTGTTCAAACCTTGTATATACGTTGGACATTATAGGACCTTGATGGACATCATTTTGTTTTACGATCTGATTCAGGATGGCCGAATGGCGGCCATTTTTGTGCTAAAAAATCATCAAATATCAAGCATTTCTGGCATTTATGGATGGATTTAGTTCAAACTTGGTACATACATCAGACATTACGGGTTCAGAGTACATGCTTTCGACACACTCGTTCGGTTCACTAGACATACTTTAACCGGCGATCGCACCATGTCACTGAGCGCCACATATACAAGAACACTCTCAGATAACCATATTAAAAATACAATTCCGTCTCTTTCGGTTGGTGTCTCGATTGAGACCGGCATTCGTAATAAATTCGTCATTTTGATAGCCCATTTGCACACTGACTCGACAATCTAGCAGCATGGGAAAACGGCGGTCTTCACGTGTGGGATACATTGCCAACTTCCGCCGGAAGAAAAGGATAGTTAAACAGTGACAAATGCAGTTTTGCCGTAAAACAATTTGTTTGTGAAATAATAGAGTTTTCCCATTAAATAATTATCTTGCCGTGTTATAAGTCAAACGGCTAGATTATGTGACTGACGGTCAATCACTCGTTTTATGGCTAGTAATCTACAATCTATTTATTCACTACTCACAGTAGCCAACACACCTTCCGTTGTGACACGGAGTTGCGTTTTCACCAATTGTGACCGAGTTGTAATTATACTGAACAATAATGATTTGTCCAACTGTCCAATACTGCTCTGTACAACATGATTTCCAGCATAGAAAACTTGCACTGAAACGAGCATACGCTTTTGTTACAACATAAGAGTCTGAATTCAAATTTAGAGAGAAACGTTGCTTCTTAAAAGGCGGCAGTCGTCGTGCCGCGTCCTGTTCGATATGGGACTCATAGCGACGTATACAACGCGTGTAAAATACATTGTTTATTTACATGAACTTCGAACACGCGCTGAGCCACGACCACCGCGCTTTAAAAAATGACATATGACCTGATACATCTAGACATCTAGACAAATAGAATTCTCGTGTTCTGATCTGTATATGAAGTCGAATATAGGGAATATTTAAAATTTTAATTTAAAAAATCACCCCCTTTTTGAAACAATAAGTCTGGTGACTAATATACTAGAGAAGGGGCAAGGGGATAGCTGGTACAGGTTACAGGAAATAAAAGGGAATTTTACGTTTTTACCGAAAACAAAATGAAAGTTCCATTTACAGTAAAAAAAAATAGGTTTTTACATTTTACAGATAAAGCAAATTTATTTTACATTTTTATAATATATTTGATAATTTGTGTTTAAGAATTAAAATTAGAAATTGCGTAAGAATTACGACATTTAATGTGGAAAATGCTTTATACGCTTAAAAAAAAGATCTTTGTACAAATTAGCTGAAAATAGCTGATTACATTTTACACCTTGCCCATGTCTACGAATTTACTACGTTTTTTATTTATTTAAATTACAATATTACGAAAATAAAAACATTGATTTACAGCTTACGAAAATACCCCTTGCCCACCCTCACTAGAAGCTGTGCAATGTGTAATTCTAACATAAAATTCTTACTGAAGCAAAATAAATTAATTTGATTGTATACATCTATTTGCATTTTATAATTAATATTCCAGAACACATGTGTTCTGGATATATCAGAAAATTGTTCAAACTCAGATTATTAATATGGAAAGATTTTGACTGTCCTGACTGTCTGTGGGTTACTCCAAAATCGTTTGTGAATTTGATTATGGTAATTGAAGTATCTGCGGAGCAACTAAAAATTGGTTAATTTACATTAATTAGATAATCAATATTTTAATTAAACATTGTCCAATATGGTCTACATACCAAGTTTCCTTGAAATGCGAAAATTTGTTCTTGAACCAAACATATACATACACACTTACAGACTAACAACAAAAGTCCTACTGTGGCTTTAAATATGGAAGTAAAAATATACAGGAGATATTCAGTATTAGCAAACTACTTTCCGTATGATAATATTTATTCTATTCAAGATAATTGTTGTTATTGTGATGACATTTTTTTTGAATGGATGACCAGGGAGTAATTATTTTCCGTACAACCCAGTACAGATTTTGCCAGCCCACACCCGGTAATAAAAAATTGAGCCGTACCTAATCGCATGATGGCACATATATGTCACATGGTGTGTACTTGAGCAAATAGCTGTAACATTATTTTGTTGTCGGCTATCTGGGTGCTGTTTGCATAAACATTTTATTCCATGTGTGCTATTTCAAAGGTGATTTGGGTCAGTTGGAACATTTATTACAAAGTATGATGTAAAAACGTAGTTATTGATCACTTTAAAGTACCGGTTAGCTAACGCGAACACTCGCCATCTTTCCTTGAGGCAAATCTTATAATAACTCACACGACAACTGGTTACAACGGATTGGAACGTCACATCGAGAATCTACAAAACTGAGCTACTAGTATTTACTCCATTCGGATTGTAGCGATAGTTTTTAGAAACATTTCTAAACAGATTCAGTCGGACATGGCTGATCGTCGTGAACTGCGAATATCATTTACGGTACTTACAGTAAACAAAAACCTCCCCATTTGCGACGACAACGATCATGCTTATACGAGTTGGAACATGACCACAGCGTAAATAGTTCGCACAACTACGAATATGTAAATGAGTTGTATGCAAATCCAATTGTAACATGTTTTGGATAATACACAACACATAACTATACTGAGGGGAGGCAAGGGGGGTAGCTGGTACGGTTTTACGGGAAATAAAAAGGGCTTTTCACAATTTACGAAGAAAAAAAAAGACGTTTTTACAGTTTACAGTATTAACAAATGGAACATTGAATGGTCCGAAGCGGGGTCCGAAGAGCTCTCCGACTCAAATTCTCCACCATTGCTGCATATTGCTGCGCCGTGTGAAGAGACGCATGCGCATATTACCCTCGTAATGCTCTTCATTCGGTTAGAGGGCCTTTTACGTCTTGACATTCAATTTTGTAGTGGATTGTGTCATCTAGTCGTTTTACAGTTTCTAAAATGTAATTTCCCTGGATTATTCTTTACGATTTTTTTATTTGGATTTGAATTTTTGTACGTACGAGAAAAAATACACATTTTTATAGTGTACGAAAAAAATATTTGATTGATTACGTTGTACGTCTAGCCTGTGATTACAGAATTACGGAATTTATTTTTTCTATTTACGTTGTACGAACAAAAAAATATTGCAATTACGTTGAACGAAAATAACCCTTGCCCCCCCCCTCTATACTGACAACCATCTACATTTGTGTTTTTTGTAAGTCAGTTTATAGCACAAAGATGCGATCAGATACAGTACCTGTGAATTCCATGTAAACAAAACGTCTTTCTCTAAAATAATGTATTTGATAGAAGTGATTTTAAAACGTGTACCAATAAAAAAATTTCCAACATTTTGAGCGCCAATAGCCGGGCCAACAGCCGGGCCAACAGATTGCCAAATTGGACACCCTCTAAAAATGATTTTGTACAGTCTGCTTTCTTCCCACAAGAAATGTTGAAATTAATTGACAAATCTTTTGATCAAAAACTAAAAGCAATATCTGTATGGCCCAAATGGATAATGACATTTAGTAACAATCACACATGTGAAAGTATTTGCACCGAATTTAGAATGAGCAAAATATCTGGCACCAAAAAGGCAAATAAATGTTGTTTTTTTCAAAAATGAAAGCGAAAAAATATTTGCCTCGCATCTCTTATATATTTAAATTTTGACAAGGGTCGGGTGACGTCATCCATGGCACGAGACACGGCATAAAAACGAACACATTTGGACACAACCATTGTGAGGGCGAATTACCCATAACTCTTTGCAATTATGTACATGCGCAGAACGTCACCTCCCGCATATATCCGTTTCAAGATGGCGTCGGCGGACTCGTCGCTGGAAGATATTCTCACTTCAGAAGTCGATGAAAGCGCCGTCAGTGCCTTAGTTGGTTCTTTGGAGTCCCAACTTGCTGCACAAATTGCTGGTGTACCCCAGGGACAGGTTTCAGCGAATTCCGTTACCAACAATCACGTCGGTGATGTACCGATTACATCCACAAATATAGTGCAGTCTGCTCAGTCAGCGCTACAAAAAGCTGTAGTTTTAGGTAATACTAGGAACAGCAATAGTAATTCTTTGTCAAATTCTCCTGTAACCATCGTTGATCAGACTAAAAATGGTTCAAATAATCAATCAGTGACTATTAACTCTGTTGTGTCGTCTGGAGTTACAACACCAACAGCTGTGGTAGCTCCAACTACAATGCCACAACAAAATGCAACATCAACTGCTACAACGTGTGTACGGATCATAACTTTGCCAAGCACCAACGTTACTGGGAGGCACGTTTTAACAACACAGCATCTAGCAAACTCCACCAAAGCTACAACTGTTACGTCGAGTTCACCTTTGAATGTGGGTGCCCGAACTTCTGTGAGTGGGTCGTCTGCGAATACTACCACTCCAACAGTAGTACGAATCGTAACAACGCAAGGAATACAGACAAATGTACCTTCTTCAACTACACCTGTTGTTTCATCGGTTCAAAATCTTAACACCAAGGTATTAACTACACAAGGAATAACGCCACCAGTGAAATTGACTGTGAGAGAGCAGCTGGCTCATCATCAGATAAATAAACAAACGAATGTACCCCAAGTAATTCTAAAAAGGGAATCAAATACGCCGCCACAACAAACAATGTCAATTGCACAGAGTACTGGCACTGTGGTTAAGAGTACTGTTAGCAATACTCCACAGTATGTGACAGTTAATGTCCCGGGCCAAGGTGCAATAACAATACCCACATCATCACTATCAGGAAATACAAGGGTCATATCAACATCACAGCCACAGTTACAACATAAGGTGCTTACACCACCAAGGTTTGTGTCGGCTCCTATCAGAATTGCAGCTGCACCACAAGCGATAGCACCTAGACCCACTGGCATTCCATTATCACAGGGATTGACTTTACCTCCAGGCATGATGCTTGTCAAACAGGAGGGTGGAAATTATTTAATACAGAATACTGCAGTTGCTGGCACACTGCAGGCCAAGCCCAATGCTTGCAGTGTTCCCGGCACTGCTACTTATAGATTTACAACAGTACAGGTAAGCCAAATTCTTACAGTGTCTCTGGCACTGCTACTTATCAATGAACAACAGTACTGGTTAGTTTTGTCTATCTGTGCTGTGCAATTTTATATGGATAAACACCATATTTTATGCGCAGAAGCTATGTATATTATCAATACTTAACCAGTGTAGCTATTGGAAGAGGATTGATTTATTTATTCCTGAATCATTGGAAAACACAACTACACTTGTAGATTTGGTAAGCTGTCCCAGACAGGTAAATTTTAGCTGAAACAGATAAATATAGAAATTGGCTCGAGAACAGGTAAATAAAGACATCAAGATTTTACAATCTTGTACCTATAAAAATAAATATGATAAACCAAAAAAAAAATTTTAATTTTAAATGATGTATTTATTTACTTAGCTAGGTACAGGTATAACATTAATTTGGATAGGTACATGTATATTTACTCTGCAACCTGTATAATGGACAGACAACTTTCAATTTTTCATATCAATCGATACAAATTAGTCCAAATTAGTTTTATTTCTATGCAAATTAGTTGTCAATCATTGCACCAGTTTTGTAGTTTTTGTTTTATTTTTTTTTCTATGCAGTGAGTGAAATTTTCTAGTAATTAGCTAAAAGTAAAGATCATTGGAAAAGATAAAAATACCAACCTACATTGTATCTAACCAGTATGTTTTTGACAGATACCATAAATGCCAAATTAGTATTATTTGTTTTTATTTGGTAATCACAACTCAACTTTGCCTCATGCATCTACAACATGTTGTCTATAGCTATGGTATTTGCAATTATGAAAGCAAAGTATGTAAAAAAATTATACTGTATGCTTATACTGGTATACATGCAAGTATTGGACATCCTTAAGTCTTTTACAAGAATCATTCACTAGTTTTCATTAGCTCAGGAAGATTGTGATTTTATTGTAATTGACGATCAGATGGATCAATGAAGACTCACTACATTTTGATTGTTGATAAAAGTATCTATTTTTTGTCTGAGAAACAAAAGGTTATAACAATGTGATTATATAGTGAAGTCCTCATAATATTTAAAACTTGCATAACGTAATTAGATTGTCAAGAGCGCCATCAGGGATGCAAACATAACATTTAATCATTATATTTGTGCTCTTCCACTGGAAGCTCATACAAAATTGTCAAGAAATGATGTTGTATTTCAGGTTGCAGGAGTATTATTTGCATGATTATTTTCATCTTCTGATTGTGGCTAAATGGCTTCAAAAAGACCACGCAACGTATATATTTTTAGAATCACCAGGAATCAAGCTTTATAATAATGTTTTTCCATGTCTGTATCTATTTTCTGTGCTGCATGGCATGCTCACATATCAGATATTACTCTTTCTGAGAACAAATAAATTACACAATTATGCTTGTGCTCAGAAGCTGTTTTTTTCCCTGTTCTCCAGTAGTTCAGTATTCAGTTAAATTCAATACGTCTGATACTTGTATCCGTGTGTAAAAGTAACATCCTTAGTTCAAGATTCACCCCCCCCCCCCAAAAAAAAAAAACTATCACACATTGAAAAAATAATCAATGAAGTATTTTGCCTGGACCACAGTCCCTCTATTACCAGTCTGGTAACAACAAAGTCTCGTTTGTCTCTATCCGCATATTGGTAAACAGATGATTCACACCTCGGACAAGTAGTGTTCATCTTGTAAAGTTATCAAATACTCATCAGGTCAGAAAAATCCCAGCATGCAATATGACTATTATGCAGATTTGCACTTGTACAGTTAGTGCAGGTGTCGCTCAAAAGATCACAGCGATGTGGAAGATATACGGCTTCAATACCAAAATAGTACAATGTGTAATTGAACATGTAAACAAAGTTAAGATTCTAAAATTACAAATTGTAATAAAAGAAATATTAATAAAATAGCCAACCAAAACAGAAATCGTCTGAACTACCGATGATGGTATTTCAATGGAAAAAAAAAACTGGTGAAAATCAATTTCAAGAAGAGAATTCACGTAACGACGGCTGCTACATTGTACATGCACTGAGAGAGTCTAATATCTTGTTTTGTAAACAATGTCTCAGTTCATTCATACTGTGTGCTGTGTATGGGTTAAAAAACATTAGAATTCATAATAAAAAGTGCACACAATTGTCCAATCATTCCCTCATACAATTTTATTTGGTGGCTAGATAGTGTTATTAATTCCCAACTCCCAATTTATATAAAACTTCATGTTTAAAACCTTGTTTTTCATAGCAGGTCATCAAAAAACTGGTTATCCGGTAAAAAAAAATGATTACCCGGTAACCAGTTTTTTGGCTTGTAAAATGGAAATCATGAAATCGTCACTTTAAAGACATACTTTATCCAGTTTAGTTTTTAGAATGATTTTTGGACAGTTTGAAAATTTCAGAATAACGACTATCGAAAAGTGATGTCATTCTAAAATATGCCAAGGTTATTGAAAGTCGTATGAAAAATAATAATAATTTGTTTGAAAGATGTTTCATTTTTTAAAAACAAGTGAAAAAATACAATTTTTTATGCTAAACATTAATATCAAGCCAGTTTTTAGCTCAGCTGTTGACTTTGTTGAGTGAAGCTTATCATACGAGTGATTGTTCGTCATCGTCAATGTTTTACTTTTTCGACTTCTTAAAAACTACAAGCCTGAATGCTTTGATACTTGGTGTATATGTACCTTGGGTAGACCTTTTTAGATTTGTTCATTTCATGATGATGTCTTCAATTCTCTAATTTTGGTGAATATTTTTGTCATTTTTGGTAAAAAGTTATATTTTCAACTTCTTGTTAAAAACCGCAAGTCCAATTGCTTTGATATTACATATATAGATGCTACATGTTGACCTTTCTGAGATTTGTTCATTTCGTGATGATATCTTTAATTCTCTAATTTTGGTGAATATTTTTGTCATTTTTGGTAAAAAGTGATATTTTCGACTTCTTGTTGAAAACCACAAGTCCAATTGCTTTGATATTACATAGATAGGATCACTCTCAAATTTGTTCATTTCATGATGATATCTTCAATTCTCTAATTTTGATGAATATTTTTGTCTTTTTGGTAAAAAGTGATATTTTCTTCTTGTTAAAAACCACAATCATTTATGGTGAAAAATGATATTTTTGAATTCTTGTTGAAAACAGCAAGTCACATTATACAATACAATACAATTTTACATTGCATTGATACTATGCATATTGTTCATTTTCTAATGATATCTTCTGTTCTTCTGTGCATTGCCAACAGCGGAGGTATCTCAGCCGAGAGGCTGCTTGTTCAAACAAAAAAATATGTTTTACGCATTACATTACATCTCCATTGATCCCAGAGTTTACAACACATCGTACCAGTGAAGATGTCAACAAAAACATGAACTTCAATCATTCTTACTTGCTACATAAACATACAGGCAATGTGGGAATAAAATGAATGCTTTACAGTGGTTCTGAGAATTATAGGAGAGTTGGTTGGCAAGATGCCTCACAACTTTGCAAAACATTTGGTGTTCGCTTTGTTATAGACTTGGCAATGCCACTCAACAGATGGTGAGCTGTGTATGATTCACTATTTCTTAGGGTGATCAACATTATGTTTTGCAAACTTAGTGTACGTATTCAATAATTTTTTCTGCTTCTTTATGTATTCTAACGAACGCACATCATTTTCAAAAACTGTCCTCACCAGAGGGTCTAGTATAAAAATGGAATGATCTAAACTGTGCGCTTGTCAGTGACACAGCGCCGTCAAGTCTAGATTGGACAAAAACTGTTTCGCAAAGTCACAAACCATCTTGCTAACTGAAGGTCCGAACAATTCTCAGAATGGATGTAAAACAAATGCATGTAGATCATAACATATATTCAGTCAACACTCTCAGCTTGATGTTGTTAAAGGGTTGAAAGTTCAACGCTACCATATATGAATACCAGGAGTGACCTGACTTTTATTGCATAACCAGTGTCAGTACGAGCTCACCAGATTGATAAAGTTCTTAGTTGTGTAATTTTGAATTTCTGATCTATATATTTTTTTGGGAAAAAAAAGAGTACATTTATTTTGTGTTATTTTATGTCATGGCATTCTGTTAAGCAGATTTGCATACAAATATCCACCAGAATCTAAACTTGCAAATGCCAAAGTGACAGATGTAATGCTTTCTGTTTTCATCCAAAAAAAACAAAAAAAAAAACAATTCACTATTCATTGAATCAACCAAAAATGTTACTATTAATTTGCCCACAAGGAAAAAAATATTTCTAAACTTAAAAAGAAAAAGACAAAACAACTTGATAAGTAGATATTCATCATCCAAATCATCTGACTTGCTACTTGCATTTTGATTAATTAATTAGCCTGCATTAGAGAGACGTCAGTTTTGCTAGCGATTTTGATGGACTTGTTGATGCCTGAAGCTGCTGAAAATCTACATACAGGCTGTTTGCTAACAATTTCGACCTAGATATCTCACGAATACCACATTTGCATTTGGTACATACCAGTTCTACATATAAAATAGATCTGATAATAATTTTATTATTTAACCACATCTGACTAATAGTGTTTATGATAACAATTCAAAACTGCAAATGTCTTGATTACAAACTTTACCCATCATTCTAATGTTTTGACTGTGAAATCCATTCAAGTGCACCTGTGAATCAGCATTGTTGTGAAAGAGATCATGACATTAGTGTCAGCCATGTTGTCTTTGAAAATAGTGACCTGGTCCCGACTTTATGCCTGTTTTTTAGACTTGCAACACAAACCCTGAAATTTAAATATAAACTTTTTATCGAATTTAAAGATGTCAAATGATGGGTAGCCTGGTCATGTGTCTAAAGTAATTTCATGCATGAAAACTCTTTTTTATTGTATTAATTAATAAGAAAAAACAAATTACTTTAGTTTGTCCACCAATTATAACTACAATTTCCGGCCCTAAATTAATATTTTGATGTTATACATGTGAAACAGATATTCTCTCCTGATATTGTGCAGATTTGTCCTAGTCTTATTGCAAAACCTGTTTACATGTGCTGTAATTTCTACTTGTTTTTTCTCCAGCCTGGAACACAAGTTGTGACTGGACCACCCCAAGTATCCATGCATCAACAACCCAGTGTGCATCAGCAACAGGTAGTGACAATGCAACAACAACATCATCAGCAGCAGCAGCAGCCAGCTGGTTCTGTGCAGAAATCTGGAAGCAATATAGCTGCATCATCACACCTACAGACTCAATCTCCCATTGTAATACAGCATATGCAGAAAGGAATATCAAACAATCCCCCCAATGCAACAACATCAACACAGTCTGTTCCCATGACAACAATAACGTCCGTTCCTCTATCATCTGGAGTTGCAATGCCAACTACTTCCATACCAAGTATAAGCACTGCCTCACAAGTTGTTTCATCAACTGCACCGGGGACAATCATCCCAACACCCACCACTACAACAACCACATTGGGTGCACAGACTATCATACCAGTGCCACAGTCAGCAATGGAAAATGTAAAGAAATGTAGAAACTTCTTGACAACATTGATAAAGTTGGCATCCAATCAACCTGCTGAGACAATAAGAAATGTAAAAGACCTTGTACAGAGTCTTATAGTAAGTATTCACTATCAGTGAAAACTCACATAGCACATAATTTTATTGACTAAAGTCATGAGTTGTGCTGTCATTTTCAATGTTTCTATTTGTGATTGTCTGTTGTCCTGTCATCTGTCCTTCAACAATTAGATTTTCAACATCCTGGAAATTTCCAGTGTGACACCTTAGTTGGACTTCAATCAGATTTGTTAA